AAAAGTTGAATACAATTGAACCTCGCTTAACGAGCAACGCATAACGAGTTACGATGAGAAGAGAAGTTCCGTTTTCTACATCATTTTTAAAACTTGTGTACACAGATTATGTGTTTTTTTAATATGTTTCACTATACGAGTAAAATTCCTGAAATCTTGGAACGGATTAAATTAGTTAAGCGAGGTAAACTAATTTGCTTAAAATGAAATCTTCAAAAATTAAGAAATTTTAATAAATCTACATTAAATAAATATTTGTATTAAAAGTATTTTATTATACAGTATTTTTAAATTAACAATTGTATTTTAGCTGCTTTTTAAATCATTTTATCCTTTCCGTCGCAAAAAAAAACTTTACTTTTCCATTCACTTAATCCGATTTGTAACTTTATATAAAGGATTGGAAAAGAGTTATGAATACTTAGTAAAAATTTCGAACTATTGAACAAAACGTGTTTTATAGTTGCATATGAAGAAATGCAAACAGTTAGTCTTTTAGTAACGTCTTTCAGAATATGCAATTGAAATTGAATTGACTGCAATGATCAAACATTATATAATTTCTTAGAACAAATGTCGTTGACGGACATTCAATTAGTTGACGATTTTGTTATATTTTTAAATTATTTTGTCGTTTCCGTCGCAAAAAAAAACTTTACTTTTCCATTCACTTTGTTATTATTAATCCGATTTGTAACTTTATATAAAGGATTGGAAAAGAGTTAAGAATACTTAGTAAAAATTTCTAATTATTGAACAAAACGTGTTTTATAATTGCATACAGAGCAATGCAAACAGTTAGTCTTTTAGTAACGTCTTTCACAATATGCAATTCAAATTGAATTGATCAAATATTATATAATTTCTCACAACAAATGCCGTTTACGTACATTCAATTAGTTGACGATTTTGTTATATTCTAACTGAATACTTATAATTTTGAAACAGTTATTAAAAAAAATCAACTACATAAATGTCTTGTTTTAAATAAAAAGTAAAGAATGTCTGATCGAATTTTTAAGAAAATTTATAAAAAAAAGTAATTTATTTTGAACACACAAATAATTTCAATATATAACGGAACTTCTATCATGTACACAAATATGAGAATTAATATAGGTATTTTTACAAATTACAGTGGAACCTCGCTTAACGAGTTTAATCCATTCCTAAATTTCGGATTTTTACTCGTATAATGAAACATATTCAAAAATACACATAATCCGGCTCTTCTCATCGTCACTCGTTATGCGAAACGTCGCTAAGCGAGTCATTTTGGACAAAATTTCAGTTTATATTTTGTTTAAATCTAATATTCTTTAAAATATCTTAGTTTTGTATATTTTCAAAGGAGATTACTTTTACTATAAAAACAGGTAACATTTACTTTGAAAACTGTTTAATGTAATTGTTATGATAAATAATGATATAAATGTTGTAAATAAAATCTGGAGAAACGGTTGTTGTGTTTATTTGTGTTATTTATTAGAACAATTGTATTTGTACAATTTTATAATAAAACTTTTTGTATTTAATTGAATTAAAATTTAAATTAATGTTAAAAGAAATTTGGCAACAACGATTTTTATATTAAATTATAAATGATTGAATTAATAAATAAATATACTTTTAAACTAATTAAAGAAACCCGTTAATAGGAAATTATACTGAATTATAAAGAAAAATAATTATTATTGTGACTATAACTATATAATTTCATTTAATTTAACTTAAAGATATCTTTATCAATGATATTGAAGATGTAATTATTATATTTGAAATATATATATTGCCATAAATTCAAAATTGAAATCTTTTAGTTTATATCTAACTTGAAACTATTTTTATCGTGGATAACTAAAATATATTTTGAAATTAAAGTTGTAACCCAACGTTTAAAATCACATTAAATGTTTTAATTTATAGTAAACTTAAAGCTATCTTTATAGAATCTGTCCAAGAATTGATATGTATTTATTGGGTTACATAATAAAATTAATGTTAACTTTATAGAGGATATGCTATTTTGATAGCATTTCTTTACTCAGTAAAATGTTATAAAGAAATATCGTTATGATGCGTTTCGAAGGTGGTCCCGTCGGTTGGAGCGATTCGCAACTCTGACGGTTTTCCAATTCAAAGAATTTGATGTTCGCTATTGGTACTCACCATAAAAGTTATCGCTGGATACCAATGATTAAAGTATTCTGCTATTTCACTCTGGAGGATGTTTTTCGGGAACACAGAAATCACATAACACTAGTAAAGTTTAAAATAGAATTGAAACGAACTAAAACTAACAAAAGGAGAAGACTAGTTGGTTCCGATACGGTTTATGCTGTTTTTGTTGCAAAAGGGCCAACTGTACTGGATGGTACTTTCCAGGATGCGGAGCATCCACGACGCCGACGATGGTCTTGTGAACTTTGTCCTACGACCCCCTCTAGTGTTGCATCAAAAGCGCAAACCGGCAACGGATTTGGCGACGGAAGAGGAGCCGAAAGCCCGAAGGTGAGCAGAATATTTCCGTAATTGTCTGGGATCGTTCCGATGTCACAGGGCAACATGGCTAGATTCAGAGGATGCGCCAATCATGTGATGTGCTCATTTAGGATAGCGTGGGTTTCGGCCAATAGTGGCTCGGCTGCTCGCCCTCTTTTACCAGTTCACTGCTAAAGGGAGGAGCGCTATTCCCCCAGGGAGCCCTGCAGCTGCTCGCTTGCTCGCTTCTCGTCCTCTTTGACTGTGCGCTTGCCCCGCTGGATGCCACTTCTTCACCTGGCACTGCCATCGTCGCTACCTCTGCTATCGTCACCGTCAATATCACTGCCATTGCCAGGCACCCTGCTGCTATACGAATGCATTCACACCGCCTCGAAAACCTTACTTACTTCCATCTTCTGATGCACCTCCAATCACAACAATACCAAGCAAACACATTCCACTTACACACATTTTGGATTCCTTCAAGATAAACTTAAATCGTAGCCCTATGTTCATTTTCATCCACGTCCACTCACAACGCTGTGAAGGGTTGTAGTTGAAAACACACTTCTGCACGAACCACTTACAAAATCTATTTTGCCTCTCACTTCGATTAATCATCAACATTAACAAGAACAATTACTATAATCAAATAAAAAATTTATTGAATATTCCAACTATTTATATACATAATATTTTACCAAAACATTTTTATACAACTAAAAGCGAATACTAAAATACTATATAATTACAATTTGAATATGTATTGCAAAACATATAAGACTTTTTAGATAAATCATAAATACATTATTTAGTAAAATTTAATTACTTTCCTTGATGTTATTTACAACTATCTAAATAACGTAACTAAATAGTAATTATAAAGTAGAAAAATATCCAACGAAAAGGATTGTTGTTTTAGCACCTTTTTTTCAAATTTGAAATTTTTCTGTTAAATATAAAAATTATATCATAAATCTGTTAATAATTTTATACTTGAATACACATTTCTATTTACACATAATAAATAAAATCAGATTTGATTTTTGTAACAATTTAATAAATTACTGAGTTATTAAAATCAATAATTCACAAACAAATAATTTTGTTGATTTTTTTTTAAATCACTTAATTAGAAAGATTTAATTGATAGATTTACATTAACTGCATATAAACACTTGAAGAGGGCCAAAGTAATTTAATCTTAATTACTACAGATTCAATTATCCATTATATTGTGTTAATGAAGAGAATACAAAAATGTAGTTCTCTATTAACGGATTTGTTTCTAAACGTCCGTATTTCTTTGTAAGCGTTGATCACTTAATATGATTTCGGCTAACGGAACAAACTCACTTCCGGCCGTTTTGTTCACTTCTTTTTTTTTCTTGTTGTTGTGCGTTATTCTTTCCCTCTGGCGCAAACCCCACACTCGCCCTAACAAAAAATCAGGGCTACACCTTTAATAATTGTTATTTGCTCGACGATTTGACATCGGAAATTAGTGGGTATTGGATGACTTCCATTCGATAAAAGGTCTACAAATTATATATCTAAAGTTCTGGGAATTTCTTCACTCTTTAAATAAGAACATATATGAAATCGACATCAATTATAACATTTTTTTTATTTAATAATTTACAATTTTATTTATTTTCGAATTCAATTAATTGTTATATTTCTATAAAAAAAAATATCATTCACATTTTTGTATAATAATATTATAATTTGGAGTTTTACGTGAATATATAAAATAAAAATTATTTTGTAAAAATTTTATAAAAATGTTTCTTTATAAAATAATTATGTGCGCTAATGAGTTTTGTATCTTAATAATTTTCAAAATTTGTATGTATAATTTATTGCCTAATTGTAAAAGAAATTATACATTTTAAATGATATTTTGGTAATTAAAACGCATGTGAGTATGTATATACAATGTGTGCATGTCATTTTCGGAGGTTAATTTTATCCAATTAGCATATTAATCAGTTATGCCGCGTTAATTATCTATCACGTAGATTAATTGGCAAATCGAATTAATTAATTAATTAATTAGCAAACAAAGCAATGGAAAAACGTACGGCTGTTTAATATTTAGTTTGTCGAATTGATAAACATGCGAAGTGGACGAATTGGGAATTTAATATGCATTAACAAATAAACTATAATTACAATACTACCAATTCCAATACAAATGATCATCCATCAAAATATTCGTTTAATACTAATTAAAATATCTAAAAAATTGATGAATGATTAATAAAAACTAATATAATTTGATACAACTGAATTAATTCAATGAAAAATGTAATAATCAATACAAATTATTTAATAATAATTAATTGAATTTACATGAGATAAAAAATCAGAATTGTATTGAAATTTTATACTGCACTTTTTATCTATTTTACTGTCAGATAATGAAAAAACTTGTAAAATTCAACTGTTATTAAAAACGTTTTAAATTAGTAATTATAGAAATTATTATAGAAAAAGTTGAATTTTTTTAAATAATTTCAAATATTATAATTATAACTGAGAATGGTGAAAGCAAAATATTTAATAAAAATTAAATTACAGCTGAAAAAAATATAAATAAGTAACTTTGTTATACAATAATTTGATATAGCTCAAAGTAAATTAATTTTCGGAGAAATTTTATTTCATATACTTTATGTAATTAAGATAAACGTTTAAAAAAAAATATGATTGTAAAATATGGAACAAATGTTCGTGCGAGTAGAACAATTATTTTTTTAATACAAATAGGCAGGTTGTGCAGATTCTTGTTCAAAGTAACTCTTCAATTTTCTTAAATTAAGTACAAATTGTTTTTTTTTTTTCGAAAATCTGCAAATAAAATAAATGCATATAGAATTTAATTTAAAAAAAAAGATAAACAATTTTATTAATGAAAGTTTAAAATATTTAGCACAATTGTGGTATTCCTTTAAATCGGAATTTAATGAATTGGTTTTTAGTTGTCGTCATAATCAAATTACTCGTGCGATTATGTAATGGACGCGGACGTCGGGGCCCGAGTTTGGAGGCGGTCAATCTAATTCCCTCTTTTGACACTTTGCTTTTGAATTTGAATGAATGAAATCTCCTTTACAAAACACATAGCGCGAATCCTGGCGGCTAATCAAACGGAGAGCCCTGGAACGGCGATAACCATCGGGTGAAGCCACCCATCCCCCGTATTTTACGAAACTCCGAAATAGATCCAAAGGATCCTCTTTAAAGTGGCACCACCGGACGAGGAGTCATATACATCCTTTTTAAAGTATTATCACAACAGTCAATACCAAGTCCAGTTTGTTCAGCACCCTATCTCAACGTGTATTAGAGACGTATTAACAATTACAGTTTAGACTGAAAATATGATTATTTTTTCAAAATAATTTTTGTATTATATTATATTTTGTATTGATTTAATAGAATAAAGTTTAATTAGTCTTTGGAATCCTATTAAAAAATAAAGTTTTATATTGAAATTTCCTCAATACGGTTCTGGAAATGATGATTGTACTTGAGGGTACTAGTCCCGATCGTATCCAGAGGAAGATCCCAGCAGCCGGATAGAAGATGATTAGCCCTAAATAATATAATTACTTAAAAACGATCTTAATTGATGAGGCTCGTCTCAAGTGCCCTGTATGCAGTGTATTACAGAGGCGATTGCAATTACGAGCGCATCCCATGACAACCAGGGGCTTATTTGATGCGTAATTGTTAATAATTCCTGGAAAGATTATAAAGAAGAAGAAGAAGCGGAAAAGAGTGAATGTGGGATGAGGGAAGCTGTGGAGCTCCCGACTATCCTTCCATCCATATATCCATCCATCCGTGAGGAGAGAGACCTTCCCCCCAGTTTATTATCATACTGGACGACGGCGAATGTAAATACAGAAAAATAACGAAGAGTCCGCATCAAAAAGTTCCGACATCTCCAAAAGCACTTCGCTTTACGATCTCCATGCATATACAAAGGGATTCAAATTTTTTCAAGCGAATCGCAATCCTCCATTTCAACATCCGCCGCCCCCCAACCACCGCCGATCTGAATTTTCATTAAGACTTACACTTATAATCCTGTTTTTTTTTTACGAAACGAACAAATTCAAATTTACTTCAGAATATCTTATATTTGCAATTTTACCAAATTATTAACAAATAGTGCCATTAACAACTTAATAAAATTAGGTAAGATATATTAACAAAAATTTTCACCAATAATTTTGTGTTGTGTAACGTATTTCAATATCAAGGCAAGATGCATTAATATATATATTTATGTAATTTTGGGTAATTGGGAAATTTTTATTTATAACTATGTTAAATACAAATTAATATTTCTTAAGAATTTAAGAAATTATTTTTCAATACAGCTTAACGAGCACCTCGCATAACGAGTATTTCGTTTAACGAGCAAAATGAATTGTAAGAAAAATGACTCGCTTAACGAGCGACGTTTCGCATAACGAGTTACGACGAGAAGTAGCGCCTGCTACATCATTTTTAAAACTTGTGTATTTTTGAATATGTTTCACTATACGAGTAAAAATCCGGAAATTTTGGAAGTGATTAAACTCATTAAGCGAGGTTCCACTGTATTTGTAAATAAATACTTATATTATATTTATTATGAATATTTGTGTGTCTTTAATGCGAATAGTTGTAGTTATGATCACATGAGATATACTGATTATCAGTGCAACCCGAAGGTACTTGTGTTCATGTGTGTGTATATAATTACTGCCCTTACTCTTTAAAAGTCATCAGGGATGATATTTCGATTCGGATCTCTCACTGTGTGTATATATATATATTTCTTGTATTTTGTTTTTCATCGTGCCGCGGCGTCCAATTATATTGGCGGTGCTTTGCAAAGGTTTCAGGAGGACCCTTGACACGGCTCACACAGCAAAAGCTAGAATCGTCATCGTTAACCCAAACTGTCAACTGGCAATTTATTTCTCAGACAAAGGATTTCCACTTTGTTATTACGGGTCGCGTCTACGCTGG